TAACCACCACACCACCTGCTGGTCCCACACCTGTGTTTTTCAAGCCATTAGGGCCGGGATTTGAACCACCATCAGCTCTGTGGGATCCACCTCTCTTTACTAGGCTACAGGTGGTCCCCAGTATGACAGTTCTAAGGCACACACACACACTCTCAGTAGGTGCTCCCTGGGCACTGACCTCGCCCGCGCTCTGGATACTGCCTGGTCGCAAGCTCTGGCAGGCTTCATCGGGGCAGCTTTGAGGCGTCCTGAGGGCCGAGTCACAGACTCTGGCCCTGAGGTCCAGGCAGTGGCTGTGGCTGCAGGTCACGGGAAGGGCGTCACTAGCCACCTCCACGTGTGGCATGAGCCTGGCCTCTGTCCACCTGTGTGGGCAGAACTAACATGCCACTCGTGGAGCTCCCCGCAGTCGGCTGCCTGCATGGAGGAGTGCAGGCTGACGACGCATCCAGGTTGCCTGGGGGATAAATTCCTTTCTGCTTAGAGCTGCTCTGAAGTGTTCAGTGCCAGCTTCTCACCGCAAAGGCTTCACCTGAGCTGGTCCTCACCTGGAGGCTGCCCTCGTGGGCCCAGGTCAGTTCTCGGATCAGCAGCTACTGCCAACCCCAGGAGGCCCAGGACAAGGCGCCATCTCCTCCCTCCAGTCCTGAAGCATGAGTGATCTAAGCTGGCCGGCCGCCGCCACCTCCTCCTCCTCCTCCTCCTGGGTTGGCTAAGAAAGGCTCTCCCTACCCTGCGTGACAATGGTTGCTGCCCGGGCCTCTCCTGCCCTAGCCCTGGCCTGGGGTTACCTCTCACGACGTGGGCTGGAGGTCTGCTCTCCCAGATCCCAGCCGACCAGCATCCCGTGCACAGGCCTTCGTTAGAACGGGCGTGGGTGGTCGGAGGACGGGAAGTGTCTCTGCAGACCCGGGAGCTGACAGCTCGCCCAGGGCCAGCCTGGCCTGGAAGGGGCCCAGCGGGTGTGGGCTAGAGCAGAGGCGGCTGGCTCACTGCTCGGCCTCGGGCAGTTGGATCACCGCAGCCTCTGATCCGGTGTGTGAGCGTGAGTGTGAGTGCATGCGAGAATTCCTAACGGGAATGCTGGGGAGAGCAGGGTGGGAATGTTCCTGAAAATGCAAAGGTTGCCGGTGACACCGCGTCCCGCAAGTGCTTCCCAGGGCCTCACGTAGACCCTACCTGACGGCGGAGCAGAGGGGGCGGGCCCAGCAGTTTCCAGGCCCTCTCCGGTTCCCCAGGCCATAGGCCTACACTCTTTGGAGCTGAGGTATCCAGCCAGACCCCAAGGTACACAGGGCCCATTGAAGCCGTGGGCACTGGAGCGAGCGGTCATCCGAGCTAACAGCAGTTGAACCTCCCAGGCCCCCACCCCGACGCCCACCCCTAGCTGAGGAAGAAGCCCCTGGAAGCAATGGGGGAGGACGAAGAGAAGGCAGACCATCTGGCCGCCCTGAATTATTAACCACGGAGGAGGTGGTGCAGGCGGGGCCGCGGGCGAGGCAGGGAGCCAGAGTGGCTGCTCCGGGAGCTGGGGGGGTGGACTGGGACCCTGGGCTGCACAGAGCTGAGAGAGCCGGAGACAGGATTGGCCTTCTATCCATGCACCTGGGCCATGATCTCCAGCGAGCCCCGGGGCCCCCCCGCATGGAGGTGGTGCTTCCTCCTCCCGGGGTTACTCAGCCATGAAAGATGCACCTTCATCCCCAAACTTTCACTCTAAAGTGTTTATGAGCCAGTGCCCTTGTTCCTGCCTTTTGGACATGGGGCAGAAAGGTAAACTGAGGCCGAGCGCGATCAGTCAACTCAGCCAGCGTCAAACAGCTACCGGAGGGACGAGGCCAGGACACGTGCTGGTCCCCAAGTGCCATCCTAAGTCCCCTCCCATGTGGACTCCTTTCTCCCATGGCTGAGTACATCGGACCGTGTGGGACACCTATCCACAATGTCACTCACAGCCATCGTGTTCCACCCCACGACCTCTCCGCCATTCCTGTGGCTCCCCCTTCCCTGCTGCTCCTGTTCACGGCCGGCAGCTTCACGCTCCATAGTCCTCAAGGACAGAGCCTGACTCACACCTCGGCCCAGCCCCGCAGGAGCTCCGCATCCACGCCAGAAGCAGTTGCCGAAGTCCACGCTTGTCCCTTCTGTGCAAAAGCAGCCCGCCCCCACCCCCACACCTGGTCTACCTGGAAAACTCCCAGGGTGTCTGTCGTGCCCGGCCCTGGTAGGGCGGGTCCCGCGCACTGGAAGCCACATGCTGGCTGTGGCTCGGGTCCCTGGGCTGACCTAGGGCGTGCTCGGTGCACGGATCCTGGGAAGCCCGAGCGGGACCCGGGGTGGTGGCACAATGAGGCCCACCGAGGGCACACGCGCTTCCTCTCGTGCATGTGCACACACGTGCTATGATGGGAAGGAAAACCGCTTTCTCCACACGTGCTCCGACCCGCCTGGCCCGAGGAGAGTAAACCTGTCCTTACGTTTGGGTAATGATCTGCCCCCAAGGTTCGTGGTTTTGAACCTGGGTTTCCCCTAAGTTTTCATGGTCGGGCCTTGGCCCTCTTCCAAGGGCAATAGTGAAAACGTAATTCCTTCGTGGTGTCCCAGGGTGGGGCCTCCGGCGGCGGCAAGATCAGCAGGGGAGGGGAGGAGGCAGCAGAGGCCACGTGGTGACGCCGTCCCCCACTCTGCTCGAACTTGTCTGTCACAGACCTTTGACCTCTCCAGCCACGAGATCATGGGTTTTGTGAATAAACCTCTGCCCCCTCACGAGTTCCCCGGTCACGGACTGAGACAGCGCAGCCACGACCCTGACCCAAAGCCTCTGCCCCCAGGCCACTCTTCCCCACCCCAGCAGCCCCCACGGCAAGCAGGACTGGGGCAGTGCGTGGCGAGGGGCCCCAGGGTCTGCACGGGGTGCAGGAAGGAGCCAGTACACTGCGGAGTGTGGAGACTTGGGCCTTCAGGGTCCGCCAGAACCCTGGCACCCAAGGGGGACGGTAGCCACCAGCAGGTTCCCCCAGAACAGCCAGCAAAGTGAGCCCCTCCCTGCATGCGTGGAGTTCAGGGAGCCCAGGGGCAGACCCCAGGGCTGGAGCAGCTGCCAGGAACAGTGCGGTGGGGCCGAGAAGGCACCGGGGCTCTCACAGAAGGGCCCTGAGGAGCAGGAGGTGGGCGGTGGGTCCCCGGGGCAGCCCCTGGCGCCCTGCCCCCCCCCCCATGCTGGGAGGCAGCCTGTAGCACCTGTCGCTTCCCCTGCAGTGCACCTGGGCCCGTGCTTGCCCCCTCCCAACCCAGCATGCTTCACGGCAAACACAGGGAGCCGGCTCCCCAGGCCCCTCCAGGCAGCAGGGGGCAGCTAGCCCAGCCCGATGCAGGAGCTTTAAAACTCCCAGCCTCTGTGCTCATCTGTAATGGGAGGTGCTGACACATCGCTGAGGGGGCTAGACGTAAGTGCCAGAGCACCCCACGCCGCTCCTGGCAACGAGAAGCGTTCTACCGCCCACGGCGCCGGTAAAAATACCTAACCGCTAGGCGCGGGGCAGATGCTGGCTGGGGGCTGGGCAAGGTCCCGGCGATGGCCCGATGGCACTGCCCAGTGAGCTCCAGGAATCCCAGGGGAGGGACCCGAGGGGGCTGGGCATGGAGGCTACTTGCAACCTGCTGAAAAGCAGCGCTGCCCCTCAGGCCCGGGCAGGGGAGAGTGCAGGCTTTCGCGCTTAGGCCGGTGACCCTGCACTTCTCGGCAGCATTGCTAACCAAGCGCTGACACTTGTGCAGGGGGAGAGTGAGTGGAGAATACAGAGGGGCTATAAATAGCCTCCCTCAGACTATAAATAGCTTTACCTCGCTTCGGGCAGGCTCTTGCTGCCAAATGAGTTACGAAAAAGCAGAAGCATTTGGTTTTCAGAGCCTGCTGGATTTCGGAATTGAGCATGAGCAACTGTGGATGTACCTGCAGGTTCTCTCCGGCCCGTGCGCACCCTGGCTCCTCCCACGCCGACGCAGCACAGAGGAGGGTCATGCGTGCGCTGGCCCCAGGCTCACCAGGCCTCTGACCTTGGGAGGCTCAGTCCAAGGACATGAGTCACGTAAGAAACAAGCGTGTGCGTGCACAGTCATGACACTGCGCGCAGAGGGAACCGAGGCCCTGGAGCCTGGCTTTGGGATGGACCGGTGCTGCCCCCGTGGCCACAGACCCCTGCCAGGCCCAAGCCTGCCCACAGGAAAGGAACAGGCTAGGCCTGCTGGCCCAGAGACAGCCCCTGGCCCCCACTCGGAGGCGGGCAGAGCCCTGGGCAGGCGGTTCTGCTCCTGCAGCTGCTCACGCTTCAGCATCAGCAAGGGAGCCAGGAG